TTTTCACCCAATCTTCAATCGATGGAAGCCGCCACCAAATCTCCGTCGTCATCGCTCCACTGTCTTCTCTCCGTTTCTCCGGCTTCTCTTTCACTGGCATCCCATCTCCAGCATCGAAAGCAATTTATATTGCGCTAATCACATGAAATAGATCAAATTTCTTTTGTCGGCTCGTCTCGCGCGGGGAACAAAAACTAGCAGGGGGATAAATTGGTAAGACGATGATGACAAGAGAGCGGTTCCACTTCGGATCCAAAGATTCGGAATTGGCGCTTCGAGGAGCTCCAAGTGAGTTTCACTTGCTGTGGCAAAAGTGTTGCCAAGTTGCTCGAGAGGCTGTCAGCCAAGTAGGATAACCATCGGGGGCATTTACGTGGCGAAATTTGGAAAATGCACACCGAAAAAATAACTTTTTATTAAAAAAATAATATAAACAAGATCTAATATTATTATTTATTTAATACTTTACTAGTGGCTAAAGCAAATTTGTTAAGAAATTGAAATTCTTTAATTTTACGCCACTTTCAAAATAGCTTTGAATTTTTAATCGTTTTAGGGACACTGTAAAGTCTCCAAGGCTTCATCCTTAATAAAGACTGAAAGCTGGTTAAAAAATATATCTCCATCGATGTAAATTTAAAAAAAAATCTTCTCAGTGAAATTAAAATATTTAAACTATAATTTAATTTATAAATTATATATTTATATTTATATACAATTTATATATTTAAACTATAATTTAATGGAGTGCCATTTTTGACCTTTTATTAATTTAATTGAGATCATTTGATAAACTTGATACGCGCGAATCATTTGGATTTAAGGAGCTGCTAATAAAAAATATAAGCAGAGCTAGGAGAAATTCACTTTCCGATGGGTAATTGAAAGTTTTGGGTGACAAATTCGGAGCTCGGCTTAGAAGCTTATGTGTCAGGTGAAATTCACTTGCTCTCTCTATCGGAGGAGTCTGCCCCATCCAAAAATCCAAATCCGATCGAGTGGGTCGCCACATGGCTGGCAATGTTTTAATTTGTATCTTTCGATTTCCATTTTCATTTCCAACGACTGCGACTGCGGCTGCGACTGTGTCGCACTCTCACCGAGGCCTAATCTGCAGGTGGATGAGATCGGGATGGTATGGGGATCGCAATGGGGATGGAGGTGGAGATGGAGGTGGAGACGGTGTGGGGGCTTCTTGGCGGAGAGATGGCATAGTGATTGGTTTTGCCTCCGCTAATGATGATTACCCACTTTTACCGGCCACATATAAAAATCAAAAGCGGTTTAACGCGTTTCTCGACTCTCGGACACTTTATGCACTGCCTACAGGTGCACTGCAAAAAATACGAACAGTTAAATTTTGGGTTCTTAAAAATTTGCATTTTTTAATAAGTTGTTTGGATTTCTATGGAACCATTATTTTGCATTATAATGACCAGAATATTGATCCATTATTTTCATTGTTATGGCCAAAATACTTTTATTTTTTTGCAAATTGAGACTTTGTGATGGAAAATCCTAAACTTCGGATAAATTGCCATAAATTATATATACAATGAATATTTACTGGTGAAATATTGATACAAATCAAAATAATAAATTAAATGGTAAACGTTTAACACAAAGCTCGTGATTGTAAGCTGCAGAAAATACGCATTTAAACATAAAAGACCAAAAAATAATGTCTTGTTTTTCATGGTTTATTTTTTCCAGTGCACAACGTACACTTATTTCGCCTCTGCACTTCTCGTCCGCCTCATTGCGATTCAATTAAAAACGCTTAACCACCACACAACTCGTTGTGTCGTCGCACCCAAAAGAAAGCCACTTGCTGCCATACAAATCAGTTACTAGAGCTCAAGGCGTGGCTGGAAGTTCGACTTCGGCTTCGGCTCTGGCTTCGACTTCTTCCTTGGCCTTGGCCATATTTATCTCTTGATTTCTCCCAAAATATATATTTATATATATATATATATATATATATATATATATGTACATATAAATATTTGAGCAACAGGTTCCCAGCTGAATTTAATTGCAAATTATTATGTCTCGTATCATGTGTAATTTTTGAGCTGCCTTTTTTTTTGTAGTTTTCCATCGCCGAAGAAAAGTGAAATTCCATTTGGCAATTGTTTTGGATGCCTCTCTCTCCTTCATTTCATGTCAGCGGGTTAGCAGGGATTTGTCAAAAATAAAACAAAAACAAAACAACCGAATAGCTGGTGAAATCTCTGGCTGAAAAACGTGCCGAAACTGCACTTATGGGCCCCCAAAAAATGCCAGCGCACAAGGTCATTAAATTGTTATCATGGCTTTGGTGTTTTTACAATGTGTTAAGACCTGGAATTTTTGTCACGAGTGACCATTGGCATTTACTTTATTTATATCTCGCACAGCAATGCCAAATTGCCGAAAATCCATCTTTAAAATACCTTTGGAAAAATCACTCAGCAGCAAACGATACGAAAATGGTTGTTTTTGGGGGCCCAATAAATTATGCCCCATCATTCTGTAAATGCGACCTAACCATTGTCTGACCAAATGCATTACAACCATTTTTATGGAGCAATTTCTTCAGATAATTGAGGAAACACTGATGGTTTTCGGTGGTTTAGAAGAAAATAAAGCGCACCACACCTTGTTATAAGTTCATTTGAAAATCTACAGATGAAGATAAGAAGATAGGAGGGTTAAATGGGAAATAGGAAATTATTACAGAAGGGTTTAACCGCAAATGAAGATAGAGACTTAATGGTCACAAATTATTCCATAACACAAATACTTCAAATACAAAGAAATAAATTAATGATTTACACATTGTTATAGCTTTTGGTAATTCATTAAATAAATTTCTCTGAATATGTTGTTAAGCAAAGTAATAATTGGGCTTCCTTCAAAAATGGCAGCAAGATATGTTTTTAAAATTATGAGAAAGTTTTCGATAGGCTTTTAAATTTAAAAAATAAATAATTTTTATAATAATAAATTTAAACTTACCTAATTAAGACTTTTAAAATTTGAACGATTACAATGCGTTGCCATTCTTTTCTGTATTTAGAATATTAGAATCGATTGAATATCAAATATAGCTTATATTTTTCTAAATTCTCAAGACATGCTCAAAATTTAAATGAAGCCATTGGCACAAATACTTGTTATTTGCGAAATAAATACGCCATCAACTGCGAATGGTTGTCTCATAAATTGGCCCGCTTTATCGCACTCCATCAGATTAGAACATGAATCGAATTGAGCCGCCGGACCACAAACAAGTTGACTTCACATTGTCACTTCATCCATCCATCAAACTCAATATCTCGGACGTAGGAAATATTCGAAAACAAGATCGAGAACTGGGCCAAAAAAGCCGAATCGACACCTTGGCTAAATTTGAGCATTTCCGTTTTGAAAATGCGGATTTCACTCGCCAGGCCAAAAGCCCAAGTTAAATGCCAAGTTTTTCATTTTTTTTTCGAGTCTTTTCCTTCTTTATTTTTCTTCGCTTTTTTTCTTCATATTTTTTGCAACCACAATCAATGTTGGCCAAGTAATGATGGTGGTGGTGGTGGCTGGAAAACTTGTAGAATGCACGACGGCTTTTCAAAAAGTGCTCAATGCTATATCAATAGCACCACAACCACCGCCAACCAGTGGCAACAACAATAGCGTCTGTACACCTGTCTAAGCCAAAAACAAAAAGAAGTCAGCGGTAACAACAACACGTTGGCCAGGGCCGCGAAGTTGACGCTGCTGCGCCCAAAAACCCAACAACTTTTAATTTCAACACATTCCAGCACAAGACTCCACAATCAAGACACCCGCACAGTGGTCCCAACCATCTGCGATCAACGCTCGAATTGGATTTGATCGATAAGATAGGGTGGATAAGGTTAAGTTAAGTAAAGCATCAATAAACTAACAAACAAGTTTAAAATATTATTCCAATAGAGGAACGATATAGAGCCACAATACATAATACACAATACACAAAACATTTATTTGCAAACAATTTTTGTAGTTTAGAAGTACTCTTTAAAGTCCAGAAAGGGTTTTATTTTAGTCTTTTTCAACCTAAAATAATTAATAATAACAGAATAAAGTTTTCCAGAAATTATTTTAAAATATCAAATATTAAAAGCTTCTATGAGTCTTTGGCAATCAGGTTTATTAAAATAAAAATTTACCAAACTAAGTTCAAATAAATATATTTTTAAATTAATTATTAAATTTGAAATTCGGTACAAATGCTGGCGTATTGGAAAAAATTACTTTAAAAAAAAGTAGATCGACAAAACTGATCCTGTTAGTTTTCCCCTTAGATACTTAATTTTCGCGATCCATTGGCCCAAGGTGCGATATATTGCTGTAGGTACTACGTACATACGCGCGACTTGACTTTCTTTGCTGCGGCCTAAGCCAAAAAACAAGTTCGGGCTCGGCTCCGTTCGGGCCAAGTTGGTGCCAGCCACACTGGGAGAAATACTTATTTTTGAACGCAACAATTTAATTCGCCATTATTACAATATTATTTTTTAGATAAATTATGTTTTAAAACACAAATTAGGTTACTAAATACACTTAAATCTGTGTTTTTTTTATGTTTTAATTGGTAATAAAATATCAAAATGATATTAATGATTAAAATTTGGACATTGTTCTACCCTGAAACGTAGGTTTTAGAAGACTTTAATATGATATTTAAATGTTAAACTTATATTCAAGATCATTGGGTGGTAATTGGACTTTAGCCTTTAAAGAAATCTTATTAAATTCTTCTCTATCTAATATAAAGCATACATCATAATGGAATTCTCGCATGGTTTATTCTGGTATTTTCTGCGCATTTGGTTGTTATGGGGAACACCCCATTTTTTTTCGCAGTGCAGGGTCTGGGGTCCGACATGGCGGACCGGGATCGGGATCGGTTGGGCGGGGGTTACGGCTCGGTCGAGAGCTGTGGGCTCCGAGCGGTTTTGGAGGCAGTCAGCCAAGTCAGTCGATTGCTGACGGTCGAAGCGTTGAGACGTCTGTTCGCGGTTAAAGCAAAAAAAATACGCGAGTGAAGCGAACTCTTTTTGTTAACTTTTTTTTTCCAACCACTCATAGATACTGAGGTGTGTAATGGTGTGTTTTGGTGTGTGTGTATGGTGTGGTGTGGAGTGGTGAGGTGTGCGAGCGAAGAGAATGAAGACTCTCTCGGCCATTACCGTTAATCAAATAAGTTTTTTAGAAATTTAAACGCTCCACTTCGGCGAGAGTGTGTGCGTGCGTATCTGTGAGAGAGCTTTAAACGGTTCATTGATCGAGTTCAGCTCGGAAATGGAGCAAAAGCGTAGAAAGAATAAATACCAAAATGAAAAACAACAAGCAACAAACAAAACAAACGAGCAAACAAATAGTGCAAGTGCCAAAGTGTATGTGTATATGTATAATGACTGTGTTACCAATTCGCATCGAAAAGACAGCAGCAGAAAATGCGCTTAACCCATTTTATAAGCGGGCACAAATAAGCCAAACCAAAACGTTCCGAACCACGCCGACCAACAAAACTGGCAGTACAATCCAATAAATGGCCAAAAAAGGCCAGCAACAACATACAATTGTTGGCCATCAACTAACGCCAAAAAGAACTCTTGGCTTGCATACACAAAAACAACATTGTTTTATGAGAACACTTTAAAAATCAGACCAAGATCTATCCAAAATTAATTATTATTACTGGTATTAAATATAAATTATTTATAATCAACCTGGGAAAGCCCAAAGAATGGATATCGTATTAAAAGTGTTTTTTTTAAGCTCCATCGAATTTCAGTTTTAAACAATAAGCTCAATTTAGAAACTATCGGCATATCATAGTACATATACTCGGTTTAATCGATCAACAAAATTTGCAGAGACATGACTGTTTTTGAAAAGTGTAATTTGAATACTTGGTGCTAAAAACTTTCAGCAGGCATTCAACTCACATTCAAAAAGAGCTTTATATCTCAAGTAAACCTTTTGTATATATATAAAACTTAATTGTTTAGCAATCTTTTTAGTTAATTGGATACTCAAATAGAAAACATTCAAGTCTGTATAAAAGTTTTGCAGTAAAACAATTCGGAGCCATAGCAAAACTCAACTTAGAAAATGAAGCACAATTCGCCCAGACATGAATCTTGTGTTATTATGGACACATGGTTCTACAGATCGCTGAGATATGTATACCATATGAACAAACCCTCAGACAGACACAATCCGGCATAACAAAAGATCTCTTTGCAAATTGTTTATTTGCTGCTTGGTTGATCAGCAAACGGATTGTTTATGCTAATATCTCAACTGCTGTACGAACATGGGTCTTTCATCACATTCGCATAAAATGGAAATCTATTTGGGGTTTTTTCTTGCGGCTTCAGGGAGTTCCTAACTTCGAACTGGTTTACTGAATATTTAACCAAATTTAACTAAATTTAGAACCATGAGGAACTGCAGGAAAGACCCTAATATGTTTGCGATGAGTGTAAAATATAAATTATTATTATAATTAGTTTCCAAAAATGTATAATCAAAAACATATTTAACTATGATTCTATAATATCGGGTTTTCCAAAATTTTAAATTGGTTATTTAATAGCCGCCTTAAAAATACAGACATCACGTGTATTAATGGTAAAAAGATTACTAGAGTTCAATAGACCATCAATCAAATGTCTCACATCGGAAATTTTTTTTAAACAAGTTTCGACCACAAGAAATACACAGATAATTGCACAAAAGCGTCATACATCCATGAAATATAATACCTTCACTTCCTGATATATAATCAAAAATATTGCCAATCGAAACTAATTTGAAATTGCTTACTTCCACAAATATTTCTCTTCAAGGCAGATTAAAAATTATGCTATTATTCATATTTTCAAAAGTTTTTATCCAGGAATATTCAAAGTTCCGTGTTATTTCTTAATTCCGTGTTATATATTACGCTTCCAGTGGATGCCAAACAGTCAAAAATCACGTACTTACCAAATTTTGTATAAATCTTCTGCCATCTAATCGCTTTCTTACGAGCCAGCTGTGTTTTTCTCATTTTGCCCGTTTAGGTTTTTTTTGTTATTTTTATACATTCTTGAGTTTTTAATACATTTAGATCCGTTTTGAGGTTAATAAAATCGTCTGTGGGCAGGCACATATATATTATATATGTGTTTTTCTGCGACTTTTGTGTCGTGCATATGTAAATTTTTTAAGCACACAATAAAGAGTCGCCTCCTCTGTGGTTTTTACTTGCCTTGTTGTTGAGCTGAATGCATAACTGAAAAAACGAGATTCTTTGGCCTACGCGGCGGAGAACAACAATTCACACAAAGTCATCGAATATAAAAGTTATTAGGGGAGAATCTCATGCACAGAAAACAAATTTGTAATTCTAAAGTTCGATTTTTCTAAATTGTTTAAAAAAAAACCTTAACATCAGATTGGTATGACAAACTATATAAATTAGCAAATGATAATTAAAAAACATCTTTTGATTAATTGTATATTTTAGTTTTCTCTGGAATATTTTAAATTTGAAATATTAAACACAAAAACCTTACATCAACCTTTCCTTTTGTAATGATATATTATTTTGCAATATAAAACAAGCCTTAAAATATACCAATTAAAAAGATATAATGCTTAACTTTATAAAACTGTGTGCCTAATTTATAACGTCGATCTTAGAATACAAAATACAAAACTAATGTAATATTTGTTTCGGTGCATTTAAATGGCATCCAACACCTGTGTGACGGGTTAATACCGTTCGCTGGTTTGGCCGGTTCGATTTTGTTCGGTATTTTTGGCCCCAGTTTTGATGTTCCACCAAAGATCGTTTTCTGGTTTTCTCGTTTTCTCACAGAATTATGACACATGACGAGATTGCATTTGAATCCATCTGGTTTGCCGTTAGCCACCACTTACAGTGCCTATCCAAAAACAGGGTGGCATGACATAACGGCTAACAATTTCTAGTCCGCTATGTCCGTTCTAATCACACAAATTATTTGGCCGCCAAATCAAAAATGTTTAGTTTTCAATAAAAAGTCAATGAAAATGTATGTGTCTAGCTATATTAATCGCCTTAAAAATTTGTATTTTTTATTAGAATTAATATAAAATTTAGGGTTTATATATGATATTGTACGTCGATCAATTTAAAGTCCCCTGTTGAAACGTTTCCTCTTTGGCATTAAGATCTGATTTGTGGCGTCATTAATCATACTCAGTTGCCTGTATATTTTCATAAGTGTGGGCAACAGGCACCTTTCTCCATTCTAATGGGATTATGTTTTGGGGAGTATTCCGTTAAAAGTGAAGTCTTGGGTGTGGGATGGTTCTTCGGAGCAAGCTTACGTTTTAATCAATTGTAAATGATGAAGAATCAAAATCTTTTACGTAGTATTTTTTTTTGTTAATTGAGCAAACCAGTTTTCTCTCAGAATTTAAGAATGCGACGATCATATGTATATACATTCTACGATTTAAAGCAGGGTTATATTTTATTTCATTATATATTTACATTTTTTCAATTCATTTTTGTTTTTTTTTAAATTTTCGTATATTATATAAAGCTTGTGTTTGCAATATTAAATATTACCAATTTAAATTTAATTGCTTATTTTATTATAGTATTTTAAGTAAATTACCAGTATAAAGTTAACTGCATTGCCTTACGACGCTTTATGATGTCATATTTTAGAAATTGCTTGAGAATTTGTGGCAAAACATGTTTTAAATTATAAACTTTAATAAGCATTTAGAATCGATATTCTTACTAAAGCCTTCTTAATCCGATTTTCCAATTTATGTAGAGAACTTAATGTCGCTAAGTGGTTTGTAATTAATGTTTCTTTGCCTTGACTTTGTTTTTAAATATTCAGAAAACATGAACTGCATTCCAACTTGTCAATATGTGTTGTTAATAGTTGTTATTTTTTGAGGGATTTATGATTAACAAATATTAAATACTTTACGTCAGTTTTGCATACTTTTCCAAATATCTTATTGATATCACTCAATTTTTTCAGATGTTCTAAATGCCAATTTGCATTTACACCCAACCATCGACGATTAAAACCCCATTTTCGAATAGCTGCCGCATTTTCTTTGAGTGTGCCTGAGTCGCACATTCCGTCCTGAAGATGGCGCTGCGCCTGCGTCGCGACGTGCAGAAGGCGTCCTATTATGTGTGGTTCCTGGGCGCCGAGGAGGCGAAGGGGCTGCGGGGCGCCAGGGTCATCAACTCGGTGCTGCCCTACCTGGTGGACAGGTCCCGCGGCCAGGAGCCGCTCAAGGTCACGCTCCAGGTGTCCCACAAGGGCATCAAGATCGTCCAGGTGAGCAGGAAACCTAATAGTACATATATATACACTTTGCTTGCAAAAATCAAACTGATTTTATTTTATGGCCAAAAATATTTAAAATTAATCATTTCTATTCAATTTATAGTATACAGTATTGTTTGAAATTAGTTTGTTTTAGTTGGAAAAGGAATTCTTGAACAAAAAACAAATTTTACCAATTGAAAAATTTGTTTGCTTTCGAAAAAATATTATTTTCTGTGTGTTATTTATTTTTGAACTGAAGTAAAGGTAATTTTTTTGCTTAAATTGGTTTAATATTTTAAAGGTTTAAATCGTTTAGCGAACAGATTAGTACTCCTAAGATGAATGTGTTCGTCTTGCGGCCTTTTTTATTAATTTGAGCTCTCTGGCGAGTGGCGCAACTATTAATTCTCGTTCTGAAACATTCGCAATCCGCAGGGGGCCTCGAAGCATCTGATTCCACACAGTGCCATAACCAGCTCCGTGCAGACGGACGACATCGTCGCCTGCGTGCTGCTGCTCTACAATCCGGCCACCAAGTGTCCGCTCCACGTCCACGCCTACCGTTGCGATTCGGAGACAACGGCGGAGGCGCTGCACCTCCAGCTGCAGATCCTCATCAACCGGCCCGACAACCAGAAGCGATTCGAGGAGCTGGAGACCAGGTGGGCACCAAATTGATTTATCTTTTAACCAAAACAAAAAAAACACAAGAAAACTTCGGCAAGCCGAATTCTACATACCCTTGCAGATATTGTAAACATTAACATATTCTTTAAAACAACTATATTTCGACTTTTGTGCATATATAATATGATATGATAATATGATTGTCCGCTACATTTTTCGATAAGGTATCTAAGGTATCTATACGATATCGTTGTTCGATTTTAGTTATAATAGTTATAATAATCGTAATTGTAAAATAAAAAACCATTACTATATAGCCAAGTATTTTCAAATCCATTGAAAAACAGTAAAGGTATATTTAAATAATCGTAAAACTTACTATGTTAATGCGTTGGCCATTTGTTGCTCCTGTAAACTTTGCGGCTTAAAGAAATATATATTCTTTCTTCGTCTCATTGGTTTATTGTTGAAATCTTGAAAATCTTTATCATGCATTTTTTCTTGGCTCAGAAAATCAACTGTTTTCAAAATAAAAGTAGTCTTTTAACATTTAAAAGGTTTCTCTAAAAAATGTTTCAAATTCCTTTACATTTACCTTTTTATTAATATCAAAAGTGTTTTTTTTTAATTTAAAAATGCACTCTTAGCTGTAATTTTTTTTTTTTGCAAGTGCTGGTGACTTTTGTTATGCAACGCTTAATTAATTGTGCCGCCAACTTCGGGAGCGAGCAGGAAGCAGAAGCAGTGGCAGCCGGGCCACTTAGTCACTCCATTAGACACACTCACCCAAACACATGACGAGCGATCGTGATAATCGCACTGGCGGGGATTGGTTTGGGCATTGGGATCGGGATGGGGATCGGGATGGGGATCGGGATGGGGATCGGGATGGGGATGATGATGATGATAATGGGGGCTTGGACTCCCAGCAAAGTCCCAGTTGCCCCGTAATTGCAATGGCTATCCCCACTGCCTGCCGCATTTCCACGAAGACAGCCCAACGATTCTGCCAGCGCCCACGCTGCACCCAAATCCACATCCACAGACACATCCACATCCACTGCCACGTTTAAGCCCCTGACTTTAAATATCTTAAATGCCTCTTCAAGCTCGCTCGATGGCTTCGCGGAAATTCAGTTTTCAAAGTTGCCGCCTGGCCAAGCTGCCACCATCGATAAACGCTGAAAAGCTGCCAGGCAATGAGGAAACATATTCAGAATTCTAGTAGTTAACGGTCTTTTATTTGAACTAGACATATGACTTAACAGATGTATTTGTAACTTTGATGATTCTTCATTTATTTTTTAATACAAAAAATGTTTTTTTTGTCACAAATGAATATCTTAGAATTGCGTTCTTCATTGCATTTTATTTGTTGCCGCTTTGCTAAAAAAAGAAGCACACTCAAAAGATTGACTGTTTTATGCAGCTGGCAATCTATACAATCCATCCTAATTTGTTTTTAACAAAATAATTAAATGACGAATAAAACGATTCAAATTTTCCCAGTAAAAACTTTGAGAATTTGAAATAGGGCCACAAAATATTTAATTGACTTTCGTAAGTAAAAAAATGTCACAAAATACAATAGAGGGTTTAAAACTTAAATCTTAGCTTTAAATTCAAGTTTTGGCTAGATAATTGCTTTAAGAATTATGTTAAAAATATTGTAACTAAACCACTTAACTTAAAAACAAAGAAAACTTGAGTACTCACCGAACACAAATTTTGCAGACTGGGAATCCTGCCGCCCATCCCCATGAACGGCAATAACAATCACAGCGGCGAGAAGCGGCACGAGTCCAATGGGAAGTCGTCGTCCTCCGGAATCGGAGGCACCGGATCGCACCACCACCAGTTGCAGTCACAACAGTCGGGATCGGGAGGGGGAGGGGGAACGGGCGGATATCAAAGTCGTCGGCACGAGACGTCCTCACCGAAGCGATTCAGTAGCTCCCTGGGCAGCGATACCGGCAATAGTACCCGGGAATCGGAATGCAGCGAGGAGCACGGCCTGGCCGGCGGATCGCCCGTTTCTCGCTCGCCGCCGCACGGCAAGCAGCACTCACACACGCACTCGCATCCGCCGCATGGCCACCCACATGCGCCGCTGCACCACCCCCCGCTGACGCCGCAGCAGAACAGCGACCTCTTCGACTCGCTGGCCGCCGAGCTGCGGGCAAAGTTGAACGGCAACGGACCGCCGTTGCTGCTGCCGCCGAGGGATTACGATACGGTGCACCGCTCCAAGGGCAATCTGACGGCCATCGAGCTGAGACGCTGTCGCAACGCCCTGATTGTGGGCGGCTCGCCCAAGGGCCAGGGTCAAGGCCAGGGGGCGGGGTCGGGGTCGGGACCGGGGTCGGCTAATCCAGTGGCCGGAGCGGCAGCCACTGCCAATGGAAAGCAGGTCTCGTCGCGCGGCTCCTCGGGCATCGGCTCCGACTTGGCACCCAGTCCCGAGCGACAGGAGCTCAACAGCTCCAGCGGTGAGTGGCTCTTAAATATACATAAAACATATCCTATTAATCATCTCCTTATGCCATAAAGAAATTATGATTAGTTATTAGTTATTTAATAACATTTTACATCCTAATATCTTATTTGATATTTTGTCTGAATTTTGCTCAAAAATTTTAAATACCAGGTGTGATTTTTTGATTTTACATACACTGATAAAAAAAATGGAATGGTAAATGTAAAAATACTTAATATTTAAATTAAATATTAAATCAAATTATTAATCATTACATGATTTAATATTAAAATAATATAGTAAATGTGACACATATTCGATTTCCATTAATTTCGATTAAAAATAAAAAATAAATGTTTTCAAGTAAAAATATTTGTAAATATATCTTGCTATTTTGTAATGAGAAATAAGTAATGACTTAGTAAAATGTATCATTTCAGACTGTTAGTTAGGTTAAGCTATAGTTGTTAAGTTATTTGCAAGCCTGTAATATTTATTGAATAATTTGTCAATCTTACAGATGACGAGCACTGGTCGAACGAGGCGGACAACTCGGTGATCGCCCTGAAACCGTCACAAATCGCGTTGCCCCATCACGGGCAACTGAAGCGGAAGAGCGCCGTCCAACCGCCGGAGGATAGCTATCTGCGGGATCTGCCAGCCAAGCCGTATCAGCCGCGTCCCAGCGAGCGGGAACTGGAGCGGGAACGGGAGCGGGAAAGGGAGCGGGAAAGGGATCGGGATCGGGAACGGGATAGGGAGCGGGATAGAGAACGTGAGCGGGAAAGGGAACGTGAACGTGATCGAAATCACGATCGAGATCGGGAGCGGACCAAAACGCCGGCTTCCATTTCGAACAAGTCGTGGAGTCGCGAGGATGAGATCAAGCCGATCATAATGCGGCCGGCCGACTACGATGCCAAGTTCAATCGGGTGCTGCAGCAGGAGCAGCAGCTGCACAGCAGCAGCGGTAAATCCCCGTCATCCCCCGGCAATCATCACCTTCAGCCGGCCAAGCTGCGGGATACGGACAAGTACAACGAGATCAATCGGCTGCTGAACAAGAAGCTCTCCCATGAACGCGAACGCGATCACGATCGCGATCGTAAGCTGCGATCCTCCCGTTTGGAGGACAATCACGATGACTTCGAGGACTCGGATCCGGGCAGTGAGCCATTGGCCATCCCCATGCCACTGCCACTGGCTCTGCCACTGCACCATCACCATCGCAAGGAGAACCTCACCGACAAGCAAAAGTTCATGGAGTACACCAGCAAGAAGCAGCAGCTGCTCAAGAACTACGCCGGCGAGGAGCAGCGCTATCGCCATCGCTATGTGGAGCCCTCGGATCTGCCCTTCGAGACCGGACCAGGTGGTGTGCCCACATCGGGCATCTCCAAGTATGCCGCAGTACACAGGGGCACGGATTTGGGTCCCAGAAGCTCCGATTTGGGTCCCAGGAGCTCTGATTTGGGTCCCAGGAGCTCCGATTTGGGTCAAAGGACCACCGAAAGGCGGCATGACAGGGAGCGGGGCGAAAGGGAACCCGATCGGGAGCGGCGCAGGGATCACGAACGCGATCACTCCCGGGATCGTAATCCCTACAGAGAGGCCGAGAGCCTGCCCTACATCCAGAGCATGGAGAAGATGATGAAGTCCACGGGCATGCGTTATCCCGAGAGTAATCCCAAGAATAGGGAAAGGGAAAGAGAACGGGATCGCGATCGCGATCGCGAACGGGACTTCAGAGAGCAGGGCGCACCGCCATCGCAGGGCTCGCAGCGCGATCGTTTCCACGATGCCAAGGACAAATTCCGGGCCATGGAGCAGCGCCCCGGGGTCCAGCGATATCCGGACATCGATGAACGCGATGCGCCGCCGCCATCGCACAGGGATCGCGATCCGTACAGGTCATCCTCGCGCAGGCGACGCGGCTCCATGGAGCCACCCGGCACCTACGAGCAGTGGAGCGAGGAGGAGGAGCCGCCGTCGCCGTCGATGGTGGTGGTCAGCGAGAAGCCGCATTCACGTGACCCAAACCGATCCCGAGCCCGATCCCGTGGCGAATGGGAGGCGGAGCCACCGCAACAGCCGCCCAGCAGACACATGGAGCGATCGGTGCGAGACAGAGAGCGGGACCGCGAGCGGGACTATAATCGGGAGCAGTCGCGGGATCCGTATCGCCAGGAGCGGGAAAGGGACCGCCAGGAGAGACCCGGCGGACGGGCCCACTCTCGCGAGTACCTGCAAACGGTGGAAACGAAAAACGCCTCGACATCTGGCTCGGGTCGCGGCCACATGGAGCGCTATCCCTCGCCCGCGGCCACGCCCAGTCGGTCCAATGATGTGGGCGGCGGCAATGGCGGTGGTGTTTCCTCCAGCGGTAACTCCGGCAAACCCCTGACCCAGATGCCCAAGGGCTACCGGCACAGCTACGCAGAGCCCGTGTTCGCCAGATCCGGCGGAAGAGTGGGTCTGGCCGCAGTGAATCCCTACTAAGGAGGACACTTCCGGAACCAGGAGTTCTTGTTTCACAAATAGCAAGGCAAGGCACCCCCGGGGGACCAATAAAATAAAAATAAAAACCGTGCAACGAAATCAAAACTAATCGAAGGAAGGGAACAGACCAAGTGTCGCATAAATCTCCGGGGATCTAAAAAAAAAGACTAAACTAAATCCTTAAAAACGTCAATGAAATATTTCAAGATTTTAAATCATTTTATTATAGTTTTATATTATATTGATATTGGAAAAATCGGTATTCCCATTTTGTTAGATTTTACAATTTGTATTTAAAGAGCCACTAAAAATCTGGAATTTCTGCGGCATTTGGTCTTAAACAACATAAATCCATGTAAACATATAGGTTAAGATGAAAGAAAGGACCATAGTGGCAACTGCTTATGACGACTCCAAAACTCTCCCTTCCGCTTAGCAGTCATTGTAAGCACTTTGCTAACTATCATGTATAATCAATATACTCCATTGCTATAGCAAAGTTTGCCCTCTCATGCGAGATATATATATATATTTATATATCAATCCATTCCTGCCTCAACTTAATCCCCTTCTGAAATATAGGGGGCCGTTGGGCATTCGAGATCGGACAGATAATAAGGCGCCAGCCCCTGTAATTATGTGCCTTCAGAGAGAATATTGTGTTTTTATTATACGCATAACACTGATTTAGTCTACTATTATATGTACATGAATGTCTAATGTATCAAAAAGCCAACGAAACAAGAATCGAATTGGATATCTTACCACTTTTTTTTTTTTTTTTTTTTTTTGGTACTTTAAGTTGCGCGGTTTGTTGGAGTTTCACATTTTTTTTTTGCTATGCAGTTCACATATGTCACGATATCTGATATCTGTAAGCATATAATATAGATAAATATATACTACATAAAAATATACATAGCTGATGTATCTATTGTTATCAACTTGATATTTGCATTAATAAAGCGCTAGTAAAAAATAATCCTCATCGTTTTATTTTGGGAAAAAACTACTGGTTGCACTTAATGGATCTATATGCATTTACTTTTACACTTTACCTTTTTTTTTTAATGGTTAAATCTTTACAAAACAGACAAAAATCATTTATTTTTAAAAGGTTTGGCATTTTCTTTAAAGTAGGTTTCACCCATTTTAGATTTAATGAACAAAAAAAATTGCAGTTTCCATTGTAAATAACAAATAAATTCAAATACCAAAAAAAACCAAGTCTTATAACCAAGACTTTCAAGTATTTCTACATGCTGATTACATGTCAAAAGTTTTCAACCAAGTTAAAAATCAAAGATCACCACCACCACCTTTCCAGAAAAGCTTTTGGCTTGGATCGACGAGACGGTGTTTTTTTTTTTGTTTTGTTTTACATTTTTATTGTTTAATTTAAAAACGTTTTGTTTGGTTTTTCACAATAGTTTTTTTGTTGTTTGTTTTCTCAGTTTTTTTAAGAATCATTTTTCTTTCAAAACAAAAATAGATTAAAGAAAAATATTTTATGTAATATATTTTTTCTCTTTTTGTTTGTTGCTCTCTCTCAAGTTAATTTAAGAAACAATTAATCAAGTTCTTATTTAATTATACAAATTTAAAAAAAAATATTAATTATATAATAATAAAAATAATAATTATAACGGGGGAAAATGCAAATAGTTGTTTGTTTTGTTGTTTTGTTGCTGTTGTTTGTTGGTTGTTGTTGATTTTCAATATCTATTACTATTCGTTCCATTTTCCCTATGAATCCATTGGGAAAAGGAGAAATGTATATTTTCTATTGTTTCTGTTTGGATTTTGACATATTTTCCGATAGCTTGATCCTTTCAATTGCTGATTGTCCTCATAGATGGTACTTGTCCTGGCCGTATTCGTCGTTTATACACTTTATATATTTATATTGATGAGTGTGTCTGTCTGTTTGGCTGAATTTCTTCATTTCATCATTTCATTTTTCCTTGATTTTTCTATACAAGCTCAGAGACAAAAGGGAAAACGGCGGTCAAACAACGTATATCCATTATACATGTGGATCTCTTCTCAATTCACTTTAGGAGGCAGGAAGTTCTTGTGGGTGGAAAAAGGGACGTCGCTGGGGGGATAATAGCAATAGGCTTTGCCAGCGACCGGAATTATATTTGTTGCTTCTTCATCATCATTATCATCATAATCATAATCATCATCATTATCTTCTCATGTTGTAGTTATATCTTTATCTTTTTCTTTCTGGAGACTCCATCTCCATCCATCTCTCTTCCTCTCGCGCAGACGCTCTATATACCTCTCGCTCGTTCGATCTTTCGATCTGGCCGCCATAGCTATAGGGCTATAGCTATAGCCTTACATGTTCTCGAACTGATCGACACGACGCTTTGTGTTACCCTTGCGGATCTCGCGGAGCGTCTTGTACTTGTCACGTCCCTGGCGCACATTCTCGCGATGGATCTTGTCGTTTGCCGTCTCTTTCGTCTCGTCGCGCGACTGCGCCAGATCCTGTTTCAGGGCCTGAAACAACAATAACAACAATAGATGCGTTAGTATTACGGTATATCTTTGATATTAGCACAATTTTGGGGAATTTTTCAAGCAGTAGTGCCGAAATATGTCGAATATGATTTGTTATTTGTTCTTTTTCTTCACAACTATTAGTATAGTCTATAATATATAATATAATATAATATATATATATTCTTTTCATAAAGTCTGACATTATAACCATACTTGAATGTGTTACGGAATTTATTTTCCAGAAAATTATTTGTTTGTTCCACGATGGCATACTTAAATCTTCTTTTCAAATATAACACAAGCAATACTTGTATATGTTTATATTTCTTTAAGTGTACTATAAATTTTGGAATTTATATTTGGGAAAATGCCTTCAGGCACATATTTAGTATTTAGTTTCCGCCCTTGCATTAAAACATTGAAAACATTTTACATATTAAGAATGAAAACCTTTACCATTTCAAGCAATAGCTTTTATAACTTGTTGGCAATTGAAGTAAAACAAATTTAAAGGCAGTTCGGTTATAGTACGTATTTATGGAATATATGTTTCGAACCCACCTTGAGCTGATCGTGCAAGCGCTCGTTGCGCTCGGCCAGCGTGCGTCTGTCCTCGATGGGGTCCTTGATATGCTCGTCGGTGTCCAAGTCGCGCGACACATCGCCGCCGGCATCGCCGTTCGTCAGCTCCTCCTCGTTCTCGTTCTCGTCCTCGGCGACGTGGTGGTGCTGCGGCGTGGTCGATGCGGCCAGCAGAGCGGCGGCGGCTTCGGCCTGAAAATTGGCGACATTCAATACACAGTTTATGGGCAAATCGAAACGGAATAACGTTAATTAGTTCAATATGGTTTTGAAGGCTAATTAATATGCAAAATTATACCGCAATGACCTGCTTGCGTCGGGCGTCCTCCACTTCGTCCTGCAGGCGCTTGGTCTCCTCGTCCTTGGCATTGACCTCGTCCTGGATGCGCTGCACCTCCATCTGCTTGGCCATGATCTCCTCCTCGAGCTTGAGCTTCTCGACGGCCTCCATGTTCTTGGCCTCCTCGAGGCGCTGCAGCATCGCCTGCAGCTCCTTCTGGCGCAGCTCCAGCTCATCCTTGGCGGCCTGCAGCTGCTTCAGCTGCTCCTCCAGTCGACGAATCATGTCCTGGGCCTCGAGCAGGTCGCGCTGCGAACGCTCCATATCCTCCTGCATCTGCTTCAGCCGATCCTCGTACTCCTGCTGCTTCTTCTCAGCGCGTTCGCGAGCGGCCAGCGCCAGCTGCAGCTTCTCACTGCCAACGAAAGAAAGAAGTGAAGGGGGGATAAGTTGTTGAAAAGTGTAATTACATTCCATATATATAAGAGAGCCAACTAACCGCTCCTGCTGTTTGGCATTCTTCTCCTCGCGCGCCTGCGCCTTCATCTGCTGCACATCGATGGTGTCCGGCTTGCGGCGACGCATGTACAGCTCGTGGTTGCCCATGCAGAGGGCCAGGATGCGCTTGTTGATGCGGACACGCGGCGCGAAGAACATAAAGTCCGGCGCCTTCTTGTCGATCGGCTTGATGATGAACTTCTTCTCCGAGAAGGAGATGTTGCGGATCTCGGACCACGGGAAGCCGATCTTCGGCGTCAGCCTGTCGTCCTGCTCGTAAATGTTGAGACCCAGGGCGTCCACGCCCAGCCAGAGGTCCGTGCCCTTCTTGTTGCGGATCTCAAAGTAGTTGACGCCGTACATCTCCAGATCCTGGGCGATCTTCAGATACTCCATCATGGCATCTTCGCGCAGCATGCTGCGGTGCTCCTGCCACCAGGTCATGATCGACTGCTCCCACTCGTCCTTTGACATCTTGTGCTGGTCGATGACGCGCTGCGGCAGCAGACGATCGTTGGCCAGAAAGCCGGCTGTGTGGGTGGTCTTGTTGTGGTCACCGTGACGCGCCTGCACGGCGTACGAGGCGAGCAGTACGGATGTCTCCGGCGGACAGTAGATCTCGTCGGTCAGTATGGCATTCTTCACCTGCAGGTAGAACAGGCGCAGGGTGATGTCCTGGATCAGCTCCTCGGCCACGTCCTCGGGATAGAATTTGGCACGGAATCTGAACTGCAAGGGATTCTCCTTCTTCACGTCCTGGTTCATCACCTGTCGAAAAGAAAAAACATGCCTTTTAGATGTTTTATCACACGAAAGTACTACAATGTTAAACGATTTTTCTTAACTATTCAATTCAATTAGTTGAAAGTAATTGGAAAATTAAACATAAAATACAATTTTTCATTTTATACGGAAATAAACAATTGTTTTTTTTTTCAAACTAAAAACTAATCAAATTTATAAACATATAGAAAGTGCAATTGTCTGAGTGTTACCCATGTCGAAAACGGCATTGATCCAGTCTATTTGTTGTGGTGCAGCATTAATTAAAGATTACATTTATTAGTGGATTAAATATCTCCAACTCGCTAGTTAACTTAAGCTTAGTCTAAAGGAAAGCCAAATATAACAAATGCTACAACAAATTTTGGGAACTAGCTGATCCACAATCATTGGGACTTATTTATTCTTGATCTAGCGGGGACTTTATTTCGGGAACAGTGGCTTGTAGACTATAGATTTTCAATCTGATCCCACCATATCATCGGCGTCGTCATCCTCTTCGCTTGTATCCGCCTGATTTACTCCATTGCTGTCGGCTGTCTTTTTGTCCACGTACTTCTTTACACGCTTTAAATACTTTATGGTCTTTATGGCCGGCGATTCGGGCTATATTATATATACACACATATTTTATGTTTAAAAAATTTGCACATGCATTTTATTTAATAGTTTATGGTACAGTTAAAATATATCCTAACGAATTACTTTATTAGAAACCACTTTATTCATAAAGAAATATTTTCTGACATAACAATTTTGTCTTCACCTCCTTTCCAATTCCAATTTTATATTTAATGGGTAATTTGTTACTGCCTTACCTTTTTGTACAGCTTGATCCATGTGGAGTCGCCCTTTGAGTCGGTGTACTGGAGTCCGAAGAACCAAACCTCTCGCAGGCCGATCGTCTTCACCACCTGGTCAAACAATTGTTTGCCAGTCGTCGTCGACTGGATGGCGAACTCCAGTTCCGCGTCCATTGTCGTGACCCGCACATTTAGCTGGAAAAACAGAGATATAATTAATGCTCATTAGACTCTGGAGTGACAAGATTTTCAGTTAAAAGAATTCATTTATTTTAATAAAAAATAATAAAGTCTACACTTCTAAAGCAATTGTAAATACAAATAAATTAATAATTTAAAATTCCATTTCAAGGGCAGATTACTATGTTTCATGGGCATGCAAGACCTCAAAATATTGTCCACATTTAAAATTGTATTAATTTTAAGTGATTATCGTATTTATAAAATACGACTTTGGTCTCTATTCTACAAGACCAACTTTTCATTGGCCGAATTAGTAGCCGGCACATGCAGTAAATTGGTAATGCTATCCATGCCTTGGACAACTAACTGGATCGTGGAGTGGAATACATTCAGCTGGGCAAACAAACACCGTTCGTATGCAAAAGTAACTGACATTTGTCGATAAGCATGTCGTGCGGTGTCTCCTATTTTTAGGGGTCGATGGATTAACGGGCTCTGAAAAGACCGACATGTGAGGAGGACACGTGCCAAGAGCTCCCATTTCGCTTTGGAGGATTGGATTCGATTTGCCACGACTTGGCGACTTGCATAAGTCGGGCTTTCGACTTAAACACGCACACGCACACGTTTCAAATCGTTGAAATAGGGGGAAAATGAAGAAAAATAGAGAGAGCAAAAAAAAAAATAAAATAAATAAAAAGAAAGAAAATGAAAGCGGGCCACATAGTGAAAAATCACGCTCGGAAAACAGCAAAAATCAATCAGGCATGACAATAGCAACAAAAGCTGGAAATGACCAGAGATAGTGGAAATAAATAGGGGGAAAAGAAAGGGGGGTGTTCACCAGGCCGCCGGATGGACAGTGGTCAGTAGAAGTAGTTATACAAGAGAGAGCTTAGGCGCTATCTATTTCAAAAAGTTGTGTGTGTGTGTGTGGTGTCACTTGACCAATTTCCAGTCGCAACTGTCTATGTTATGAAAAGATTGAGGAAATCGCAGGAAATTGCACCGAAAAGGCCAAGCACATGATAAAATGTCAACTGTACTAACTGCATCGGCGGGCTGGCCGTTACGCAATCGCCAAATCGAGGTCAAATTAAGTGCGAGCACAGATCAAAGTAGAGGTTAATCTGCAGCCCAGACAATGTAAGCCAAACAAAATGCTGTGCCATAACCATTTAAAGAGTGCAAATAGGGCTCATTGCACTGAGTAATTAAATCTTAATTTTAAGGCAACAAATTTCCTTTTCTTAATATTAAAAAAAATTAACTGCACTTTAATTTTCGCATTTTCGAATGTCTATATGTATATTTTTTTTGTATTAATCACCAATAAATTGTACATTTATAATTGAAAACACTAAATAAACTAAAAATCAGTAATTGAATTTCTAAATTTCCTTTTGTTATAGTCTTAAATAACTTTTAAAGTTAAATAAAACTTAACACCTCGTTTTATATTTTACCGGCTGTATTAATTACATTTTTTTTTGTACTTTCTTTTATTTGACTGATTTAAAAAGGGAAAATATCATAGGCAAGTAAAAAAAAACACCGGTTTTGGCTACCATTCGCTTCAGGTCATGGGAAAAAGTCTTAGCCCAAACTTAAATTTTGAGTTCCCTGGCGTTTATTTCATCATTTTATTTGTTTTGGCTTGGTTTTAGTTTTCAGTTTGAGCACATTGTTTTGTTTTGTTTTTTTTTTTGTTTTCTGCCGTTGAATGCAAATCAAACGTGACACAATGCTAGGAAATTGAAAACGTTTTTCATTTCAATCCAATTAACGTTTTTGGGTTAATGCAACCGCGGTGGTTTCTGTTTCTGTTTCTGTTTCTGTTTCCCTTGCCACCCAAAAACAAAAGTCTACCAAACTATGCACAAACAGTAACACGGCGGAAGTAAAGGCATAATAACCAGTTTTTCAAAAATTTTGTCTTGAAACCACAAAAGTGCAGCACCATAAAAAGAAGAAGAAAAAAATGTAGACATAGATTTTCCAGAGGAAAACATGGAAATTAGTGAGTAGTTTTCGAGTACCGTTTTCCGCTTCACGCTGACTCCGCCGTAGCGCGGCAAACGGACGCGGCTGTCGGAGACGACGACCATTTTGGGCACCGTAAAGGGGTTGCGCAGTAGCTTTTGAATTATTACGCTTTTCTATGCAAATCTCCGGCTGGGAAAAATCTACAAGAAATCCACAACCACGGACAGGAATAACCACGACGGAAAAGCGATCTAAGCAAGCAAGCACGACGCGTTGTTCAATGCGTTTCTGTTGTCCAGCGGCAACTGAGGAAAATGGAAAAGTCACGGCACGTTTTTAAGCTCCCAAAAGAGGAAAGCAGCAACAGTAGCAGGGCACAGCAAAAGGAAAATGGTAGAAAAACACTGGGAAAGCACGGCGACAGAATGTGAAAGAAAAGCGGGGGGGAACACACGAACAAAAAAAAAAAGTGAACTTAATTTCTGCCATTGCAAAGGGGACGGGGATTCACCCATTTGAGCGAGTCATTCGTTGTCAAGTTAATATAAATTGCATGTTAATTATGCATCTAAAATTAGACAGCAGCAACGAGCATAAAAGAAAAACTGACACTCTGACAGGCAGTCTACTGACCATAGAGGTCAACTAGGTCTGTAGAACGAGAGGAGTATGCACATGCAATAGAGGTCAAAATAATAGTGTTACAATATTAAAAATATATTTCCTAGATTCACCAAGTTATAAGTGTATGTACTTCAAATAAAGCTTAAAAGCTCCTGAGATTTATCTATTTATATTGTTCAATAAGCCAAATAAAAATAAAAAATAAAAAAATATATATATTATATTTCAATAATATTTATGTCAATATGTCTAGTTGTTATTAAAAACAAAGAAGCAAGAATTGCCGTTTTTTTCGTTATAAATGAACTCAAACAAATAAATGTTATATTTATGCAGTTGTTAATCCAATCATATTGTCTTGACCAGCGCTGTGTCCAAAGAGCGTGAGAGAGCGCCGTAGACCTAGCCCCAAGGTGGGCAAACAAATCAGCGTCAATCATACGACGCGTTGCCTGTCAGTTCTATTTTATTGGAGCCGCTCCGGGCCTCCAAGAGCAATTAACCCCTCCCCCAGCTATCAACCTATGCCAACACACCAATAAACATCCATGCCTACTATTGCGGAAAAACTATGGCAAAAAAAGGGAAAGTTATAGAGAAACCATTCAAGCACGATTTGCATCGACTGCACTTTACAGGAAAATTGCCATAAAAGGGAAACGACTTCTTAAAGATTAATGAGTGTCAAACATAGCAGGAAATTCCATCCCCCACATCATACAATTTATATGATTAAATCAATCGCACATGTGATTGTAATGATGAGCCTCTGACAAACCATCCATTAACAATCAAGACACCAGCAGCAAAATGTCATTAAAAGATTGGTGATAAGAACTTTTCCAGTTGCCAAAATAAAATTATTGGCATGTCAATATAAATTGCCAAATACTACGGTGAAATTTTTGCCATATCAATGACGTCGACTTTTAATCTAACTTCCGTGGATCTTTAGGTATGATGCAATTTCGTTGGCGAACGTCAACAATTTAGCAAGAACTATGACGTCTCTGCCTTCAGCTGCACATTCCGCAGGAAATTTTCTATTAAAAGATGCGATCCCTCTTCTACAATTGACGACAATTGTAGTTCAAGTGCTCTTGATAAGGACACAATTTCCGATAACTGACAACTTCTTCGTCGTAGTGACTTTGATTTAATAACTAATCTGTAAAATTTACTAACGTCTCTTATATGCTAGCGGAAAAAAACATTTCGATTAAAGTTTGTGCTTTATCAGTTTCAGGTTCTGTTCTTGAGGTTTTACTGTCTTGGACTCCACTAATTTATGGTTACTATTCTAATGGAATATTTTGCGGCTTTCAAATAACTGACTTATCTTGCCTTGTTTTTTAAAATATATTTAAACAATAACAAAGGGTTCTATTACAAACTTTACTTACCGCTTTTGGAGACATTTTGTTGCTTCCTGTTTTTTCTTATTTATCGAAACGAAATGATTTCTTATGGGTGGTTTTATCGTCTTTACTCTTACTCTTCGTTGCTTTTGTGCTGCAATCTGCAAAATAAAAAAATTAAACAAATTAAAATTATTTGTTTTGTTTAATTTATGTTTTGGTTTGCTTCACCAGCAAAAATCCAAAATGAACTGAGCCCCACAAAATCAAAGCAAGTGGTTTTTATATCAACGGTATTACTCAGTTTAAAGAATGAAAAAGTTTATTTTTGCTCTTCTGTTTGTTTAGTTGTCAAGTGCAGTAAAACTTGCTTTATACCTTCTTGGATTAAATCAACACTGTATTGACACGCGTTGTTTTAGTTGCAAATCGAAAGATCACGACATGAATGAATAATGAACAATTTTCAAAGTTGGCACTCTCACTATATTTCCCGAGCATATATAATAATAGAAACAAACATATATATCACAGCTAGCTAAGTATTTATGATTTAATCTGGCAGTCTGACAGCAAACTGCAACAGACTTTGAAAACCATATACATACTATAGAGATACAGAAACACATCAGAGTTGTTAGCTAAAGACAATTCCATATTTATGCGGTGTTAGTTGCTTAATAAATATATTGTATCTCAGCTGGAAAACTTCCTTATGTATACATATATACAATTGGTTTCCAGCTGTACTATCTCAGAGTATCCAAAGTATGAAAATATAACTTCTAAATAGAAACTAAAAAACTTAAAAGCAGTTATAAAAACAAGCAAAATAAAGAGATAAGCTATTGGTAGAGTGGTTTCAAAAGACCATTATCAAAGTGAACTTTGAATAGTGAAATTTCAATAGCAAAAATGAAAACACGAAAATCAGACTACAAAACCTTGTTATGAAACTAAGAATTACAAATAGTAACTAAACGATCTTTGCCTTGTTAAAAATGTTTACATTTGATAATTTGTTTTATCGTTGTGGAAAACCAAACACTTAAAGTTCAAGTCTAAAAGTTTGCCCTTCACAAGTTTGACAGTCATAATTTAGCTTTGAAAAAAGTGTTTGCTTCCCTATTTGGTGTGCACTTGATATTTCCATCAACAAGCGGCAAAAAAATCTATTTTAAGAGCATGGAAGGCTGCTGACCACCCCAAAAATGAATATCCAATTAAATTTGACACAATTGACATTTGAACTGGTGCCAAGGGGAAGGGGGAGGGGTCAGCGGACAGGGGGCAGCGGGGTCAGCGGGCTCAGCGGTTCACGCGACAAGCTATGACGTCAATGGATTCCAAATAGTTCTGCTTTGGGCTTGCATTTTGACTTTGACTATGCTTTTTCCGCGTATCTTTGCTCTGACGTTCGATATTTCTAGAGAAATGCAAATAAATAATCATTAGCTGCAAAAGATATTTGTCTTTCATTATGGGACTGTGGCTTGTTAAGTTTTGCTAAGCATTTTGATAAATAAATTTATTATAAACTTTTTTTAAATTGATATTACACTTCTGGATTGGAAACCTATTTTAATAATAATTTTGCACTTTTGCACATGAGTGAATATTTTTATATTATATTGAATTCGTATGTATAGTATCTGAATTTGAGTCGCATTCCCGGATGCCCAGTAACAATATCCAACGGGTATGCTATGTTTCGATCCCTAGTGAAGACAAACCCACTTCCTTTCTGGTTTTTGGTTTAAAAAAAAAATAATTCGACTGTTGTTCGGTTTGCACAAATTATGACATCATGCCATATTTATTATCGCCACTGCGTGAACTTGAAGAGGGCTCCTCGAAAGAAAAAAATCGAATGAGCTCATGCTTCTGGTTGGTGCTTGTGAATGGGACGGTTTTCGGTTTTCGGTTTTTGGATTTTCGCTGGCTTTGTTGACTCTGCTAATCAACGGCCTCGAATTCCTTTGGCCTGATATCCGAATCGAGCGCAATCGTGTCGCCAAGTGAATCGAAATCGGTAATTAAGTGCATCCTGCCACTTTTTCTCTGCCTTTTTACGCAGCTTTTTTGCTTTAATGAATGAATAGGGGCCGTGGGGAACGCAAAGCGTCACTTCCTCTGATTGCGATTTTATTTTATTTAATTTAGATTTTTTCCAGCTCTCTGGCTCTTTCACATCACTATACAAACTACACTACTACTTTGATCGTTTGCCGCTGTGCCGGAAATGATTTGGCAAATTTATCTGTAATTTATACAGAAAAACATTTAAAACTTTAATTCGAATGGCGGTGTAACAACAGCCACAATTAGAGAAAAATTATAAAAGGCCTTAGCGCCATTCAAATTATGTTGCCAGGCTTTTAGTTTTCTTTAGAATATTAACATAGTTGATAATAGTTTTAATAATAATTCTAGTCATTGTCCAAAGGTTAACGTAAAATAATTTATTATTACAAAGGTTTGTTTTATCTGCATTGTTACCAAAACAAAGCGTATTAAAAAAGGTTGATATATTCATCCACTAGAACATCGACCAATTGAAATTTCTCTTTTTTTTAAGAGAGGTGGGCAGCGGCAGCTGTTGCGTTATTGTAATTATTGTTTAATTTTTGTTAATGAATGGACTTGCAGTAAATATTTTTCATCACCTCTCACAGTTAAAACAAACGTTTGCCTTTATATCATTTCAGTTTCGGTTTTTGTAGGCACCAGCAGAGATTCCCCCCGGAGAGCTTTGGCTTTGTTTTGTTTATGTTTAATATCCATTAACTACATTAATGGGTTCAACAAAATGTGGAAAATCGAGTCAAAGTAGAGAAGGCAAAAATCACGTTTATTGTTTGACCACCGGAACCACACGAAAAACACAACCAAACACACTTAATGAGAGAGAAAAATTGTGATTGCGTATGCGCAACGCATTTTAAAATCCATCAAATTAAATGAAGTCAAAAGAAGAAAAAAAAAGAGCCCCCCGCAACCCCCGCAACTCCTCGCTTTTACTTTTCTTCACGTTTCTCTTAAACCCCCATAATAATGAGCTTTAAATAAAATTATGTTTGGCCCGAGCACTTTTAATTTCAACAATTATTTGTCTTTTTTTTGTAGGTTTTTTCTTCTTTTGTTTTCATGGCGAGTTGATTTTTCGTCCCCAATAATTAGAGTGCGCAACCGAAGACAATCAAGCGATCAGCCAAACCAAACTGACCAAGTAAACTATATAGGATATATGTATATGCAGCACTATTTTATGAATGGACATGAGCGGCATGACAAAGCGAGTAAAAACAAACCGAAAAGCAGCAGGCAAATCTTAATTACATTAGAATTATGTTGTTTTTTTCTTTGTTTGTTCATTTATCTAAGGCCTCACAGCTGTTCATTAAATGCTAAAACAGCTACAACAAACAAGAAGACCAGCGTACAAAGCAATTCATCAACTTGGCGGCAGCTTTTCCTTTAAAAACACAGAAAAGGAATAACAATTTAACGTGTAGACTAGCATATACCTCGCAATGCAATTAAATCGATAAAAACAAAGTCACTGCTTTGTACAAAAACCATTATAATAAATACCCGATCAGATATGTTCTAAAAGTAAAATAGTAATAAGTATTTACTGTTTAAAATAAATAGTAATAAAATAATAATTTAAAATCTGCTCATAAAATTTCTGATAAGTAATTACGGTTTATGGAACTACGCTCTAAAAAGTAACATACCCTTAACCAAAAATGGAACACATCAACTTGACGTTAATTTTGCTCCCAGAAAATAAAAAATGTGAAAAATGAAATAACAAAAAAAAAAAGACAGAAGACATAATAACAAATGTGACGATTTAATGAAGCAAATTAGGCTTAAATGTTCTAGATAGCAAAGAGCAAACAAAATCGCGCACGTAAAGAAAATATATGACAGCGGCGAAACAACAATAAAAGCCCACATGGAAGGCCGAAATAGAGGAAATGAGGGGGGAGGCGGAAAATGAGACACCTCACGAAGGGGAAATGAAAACATCAGAGATGCCACAATTAACAAAGCACGCAAATACATTAGCCATTCTCTCACACACGTTTCCTCCCGATTTGCCCACTGTCCGTGCCCACCAGGCCCACTGTCCATGCTTTGCTGGCATGTCTGTCTTTTTTTTTTTTTTTTGTACATAGCTCCCTTTTTTTCCAAACTGCCAACTCACAAGAACAATTAGTTCTTTTGTGTGGAGTATTTATTTGCTATGGTTCTTTATTGGGGATTATAAATGAAAGAATGACTACGGGGTTTTTCTGAAAGGGCTTTCCAACACTGGAGTCAAGAAATACTTTGCAAATACTTTGATTTGTGATTGCAATGGAAAAATATCTCAATTTTATGTGTTAAAAACTTTTTTTAATGCTGTTATAAGGTCTAACAATGTCACCTTCATTAATATATTAATAATCTTAAAAATTAAATGATTAATTAAAATATTTTCTTAACAGTTTAAAAATTGTGTATGTCATACCCATTTTTAGAAGAGTAAAATTCGAGTTAAAATGTTCTTATTTCTCTAAGTTCAAGGTAATAAGTTAGCTGAATAACTGTAATGTACCAGATGATGATGGGTTATTTCCACTCCATGTGGCGAAGCACCGTTATGCAATCATCCACCCCCACCCTCTATCGATAGATTGCCGTTAATTGTTTTTGTCAATTGTCAACGTACCGCATGCAAAACACACGCAAACAGATACATGGTTGGCCATTTGTTGGTTTATCTAGCTGACAAATTTGGTTGATTTTCGGGGAAGGGGAAGGGAAAAGGCAGATGAGACAAGCCAATCATCACTGGAAATTTTTTTATTATTTTTTTTTTGAAGCACGGAGAAGTAATATACAAAACTACACATTGAAATTTGCTTGTGTGCGCGAGGTTACCAAAAAATTTTCATTGTTATTTGAATCGATAATCTTAATTGGGTCAAATTACATAACTGACATAAGGCTTATCAGCCGACGACCGACGGACAATACCAATTATAACGGGGCCGGACACTCAGCACGTTCAGGTGTGCTCAAATATGCCATTTTTCCACACAAGTGGGTAAAAATGTTAATTGAAATTGGATCATAATTGAAAACATTTCACTATGGCTTTTATTTC